ATTCTGAATTAGGTGCTTATTAAAATACCTTGAAAATAAAAAAGCTAAACTTTTCTCTAAGATATATTGAGTAAACTGTCAGCCATTGATTTAGATAGTTGCTTGATCTCGAAATATATCGAAAGTTAGAAAATAGGGTGTTCATTCTGGTATCTAATTCTAGTAAGATGGATGGTACCATTAAAATCCATAAACCAGGTTTTTGTATTAGATTGATAGTTGCCTTTAGAAGCATACTATCATCTGGTTTATAGAAATATCCAGCTTTTGTATCAGGACTTACAGCAGTGCGTCGGTGACAAATTTACTGTACTCTGATCACAATGTATTTATATCTTTTTTTCACTCATAAACAGTATTTAACTTTAGATTCACTTGACGTCTTTGGACAGTAAAAAACTTGTTAAATACAGATTCGTTTGTTCTCAACATTCGATATGCAATATACCTTTATAGATTATATGACTCACTACTGCCAGGATACTTCTCATATTGAGAGATTATACACCCATTAATTTTCATCACTGCTGTTTAATTATATCACTTTTATCCAATATTTGTGACCAGCTACATCTAAACAATTGTTTACTCCAGAAGACTTTGTATGGCATAATGATTCGTTTCTTTCTACACTTTTGCAGTGTCGATTAGTAAATAAAATTAAGACATTGCCTGTAAAAATGGCATGTGTTCGTATAATTCATTATTCGAGATATATTAGTGTTAGATACATTAAAACTTTTTAAATAGACTTGTTGAAAATCGTTGGTATTCGAGCTATTAATATCTTCAAATAATTGAAAAATCTATGTAAAGAACCCAAGCACATTGCTATCCAATAATTACACTCCTGACTTTATTAAAAATTTAATAAGCACTCATACGATAAACAGTAAAGTACTACTAGCAATTACAATATGCCGAAGAAGAAATTCATTTCTTCCTGGAAATGGACGTATCAGAAAGAACGAATAAGAGTTTAAGCCTTGACCTTACTAGAACGTATCCAGCTCCCGAATCATCCCTACCTGTAGCAATACTTGTGCTCTTTCTCAACTCAGTTTGGATGGACACGAGCAGTTGCTAGATGCCTAATAAGTAAATGCTATACAAAAGGTCTCCCTCATAATGTGTAGGACACCTAAAGATAAAAAATGTATATTTTAAGCATGAAGTTTTATTTATGATAATTCCTATTAAATAAACGAATGGATTTAGAGCCTTGTTCTCATGCTGTAGTATATAGTAATGTTTTTTCTAATATATTCCTTATTAAGTGAAGCATGAATGAGTTCTTACTAGCGTTCAAATTTTTATTATATGTTTGAATAGTTATGTTCGTCCCTATTTTTCTCCTTTTCAATCGGTGTCACAGTATGCCTGATAGTAATATCGTATTTTTGTCTTACCGTTTTACTAAGGACCCCCCAGAATTGTAATGCAGGGGTATTCTTATTCACATTCACATGTAACAAATGCGATTTTGAACAACCCTGGACACTGAAACACGTACATTTCCATCCACGAATATAAAAGGAGGGAAAATAGAAACGTGAGCCAAACATCAAGGCGCCATTTCGTTACTTCGATTTCCCTTCAGCTTGTGGTGACCTGAATTATCGAAACAACCATTATTATGAAAGTATAAGTATACATGATTTCACTGGAAGTAAACCCTGTCAGTATTCAAAACCAAATATTATGACAAGGGAGGATGATAATGGATCCAAAGACAGTGGGTCAGCATATCAAAATATTAAGTTGATTTTAAAAAGTCGCTCAAACTATGATCAAATTCGCATTAATTTCGTCATATTTTGATGGTCAATATTATGGGCAGCTGAAGAGAAACTCTCGAAATAAAAAATTCGTCAGGATATTCAGCTAATTGTTTCTTCATACCTCTGACAGTTTGAACGACTTTAGTTGATGCTATGAGAAAATCAATTTTTTGTTTTGTCATTGTTGTGTTTTTGTTTGTTATTGATTTCAAGCATAACGTGGTCACTTATACGCACGTGAACTGCTAAAAAAGAGTTTCCGACCTCACTCATAGGGGTTGTTCGAATGAACGAAATGATATTTATCCGTCGTCAAGTCAAAATATCTACAGACTCCAACGGTAAGTAATTACATATGTATACTCGGTGATGGCCGGAAGCGAAATGAAAATTTGAACCGTGGCCGGAAACCCGGTACAAATGAGAGTCTGCCAAACTGTGGCTATCTCAGATAGTCAAATGATAATTATATATGTTTCCAGAGACTCACATTCATGACACATCTTTTCAAATCCCTAGGTCTATAGGTTACAAACTGTTACTCACCTGACCCACGGTATTATTCATAGATATGGGTTCATCAGACTACTGTAAAGAAGGGCCTAATCCCTTCATATAATTTCCATTTTGCAGTTTATATTCACCTAAACTTTGTAAGCTGTAATTTAGATTCGAGTGACTAGCTTCATGAAAGCGTTTGCTGAAGGACAAATAGGAAACTGGGATTTAACATAACATATTTGACTGGAAGCAGGTCGTCCTTTACTCTCGTATGCTTGAAGCAAAACCGTAACTTTTTATGATTATCATTACCACTACTCCAACTGAAACAAACTAATGGGAAATTTCTACCTCGCTGATTCATTTTATTGCAATAGCTGGAGAACAAATAATTTAGTCAAGAAGTGTTTCTTCTTAACTACATAGTTTGAAAAAATGTTTGTTTACCGGATTTACTGTTCAACAGTTTTCTCAAGAATTATCTGTCATTCACTTAATGGAACTGACATTATGAAATCATAAAATTCGGTCATGCAAGCTCTTAATGAAGAAGGTTAAGATAACGATCAATAAACTTTTACCCTGTACCGTGCGTCAAGTTATATGAAGATCAGGTATGTAGTAAATGAAGTTGTTTCCATAAGTGTCCATATTTATTTATTTTGAACAACGATAAAACTACCGGTAATTAATCCTTACTTCAAGTAAAATTTTGCAATCGAGAGTAATTAGCAAAAATTTTGTATATTTACGTTAAAGTTTTTAGAAAAATTCGAATTTAATGTGGAATTCTGTCATAATTGTCTGATTTGCAGAGGCATTAGTAGAGAAACGGAATTAGTAAACACGACTATTTCATGTTATAACATCCACTATATCAGTCACATACAATGGTTGCCTGTTTTATTCTGAAAGCTTCTCAGTTGAAACAAATGTTTATTGTTTATCACGCAACTCAAAAGCGAATGATAATTCAAGAATATATTCTAAAAGAACTGCATTTATTACTTTCTTACCTCTATGTAATACGTTTCACTCTGTTGGCAAACTTACAACTATTTATCTGGCTAGGAAACTGCACAAGTTTCTTATGATTGAAATAAGGCCTACTAAAACTTTTGATTCGAAACTAAGCTAAAGCGTCTGTTGGAAAGAAAGTTGAAAGATAGAGAAATTTGAAGTGTTTATTTTAATTATAAGTGTAAAAACAAATTCTCTTATTGGAATGTTAATTTGTTATGGAGTAAATTTATTCATATGGCTTGGTTAGAATAACTCAGTTTGTTAAAATCAAATGAAATGATATGAAAGTTTAAAATACTACATTAATAACTGTATCCACCCTGCATGCATTTCTCTGACTCTACGGCTACGTGCACTATTAAACTATCATAAGCATAGAAAAGTCTAAAAATTAGCCTTCCTTTGTCACTGAATCACAAGAGAATCTATGGAACTGAAGTTTTAACTGTTTATGCATGGATTTAGAAACTATGCGCCTCTGAAGCATAAAATGACCTAAAATAAGCTAATCAACTGAATACCTCTATTCTCCTGCGGAATATTGATGAATTTCTTTTTAAGTCAGAACCATATCGAAATGTGATGTTGGATCTGTAGATATTGTTGGATGAATTAGTCTCTGGTGAAGGAAAAAGTTATCCCACTAAAGTCTGAGCACCTATGACGAATTGGTTGCCATTATTGATGTTGTGCCATTATATATTTTTTAAAAGCCTTCTTTCTCAAGTTGGTTTCTCAAACATTCAGAAATAAGCATATGGAGTTTCCACTTGGAAACTTTAGAGTAAAAATTTTTAAGCAGATTTTATATTCATCACTATATACGTCAGATAGTATGTTTACTAATTTTGAGATCTAAATTCTGTATTTGAGCTGCAGCTATTTCTGTAAAATACCAACCCAAGTTCTAAAGTTACAAGTCCATGATGACTATCACAAGATAACCAGTTGAAAGTCAGAATCGATTACAAATTATATAGATGTTTAAAACTTGAACAATATTATTTTCAGTGTCGATTAAATAAAGGTGTATTTAGTCGAACGGGTCAGTTCAAACAAAATAATGTATTCCGAGTGTCTCTATTATTGCAGTTTTATGAAGCCTTCTAGGTGTCTTTAGTGCTTTAGTAGAGTCATTGCATAGGTAGGATGATTAAGCAGTCGAAGCACTACGTCTTAAACTAATTTCATCAGCATCGTGACTTAGTAGGTCTTTTTAAATTGGTGCCTTTGATATGCCTAATAATCAGCAATTTCTGATATGACATTTTGACTGTTCAAAAACACTTTATACCGAGCGACAAACTTTTCAAGAAATAGTTTATTAAGCATACTACTTAAAATAGTATCTCCCACATTTTTTCGCGCACACACACATGCACACACAAAACCCAGCACTTTATCTCTCGTATGTAACCTAATTCAGCTCCTAGTTGTCATTGTGTTTTACAGACGAAGTGCATGACCGAAATAAGTATAATTCATTTTAAATTGAAACCACAATAAGGTTTCAGTATAAAAACTATTTGCAGTGGTTAACATTCAAATTAATTCCTTATAATATCTGTAGTTCCCTAGTAAGTGTTTTTGAAAACATAACGTCTTTTGCTTAGTAGTGTGAAACTAAATCTCACCAGTATTCTAAAATGATCACTGTCGTTCACTTGCACCTTTACTAATAAAAAATCTCTTATTGACTGACTTCAGTTATCCAATTTTATAAAATATAATTGGTTTTTTCATACAAGTGTTATGGCTATACACCAGTAAAAAATAGATATAAAGCAACCAAAAAGAGTGATCTTCTGTTCATTTAATTGTATTTTCCCGCGTTCTGCAGTAAATAGCATTGATATTGGAAGAAGCAGTTTTTCTAGTGATTGATATAACTGCTTTATAATCTTGAAAGATAAAATTTGGCATATTGCAAGAAAATTAATACGGCCTTCACATTAGAATCGTTAAGTGTTTTAAAGATACAAATATATTTATCGATCAATAGAACATTAACAAACAGATAAAAAAATTTAGCGAATTTAGCTTGAAAATTTGTTTCATTTGCTGTAGAAGAGCTAGTAAAAGTCATACTTCAAAGCATTTTCTTTGCACACTCAAAAGTAACTGGTATAATTTTGAGGAAGCACCAGTTTAATGTATTTTTACCGTCTGATAAGGTGATAGATTTACGATTATTAGAAGAAAATGGTAATTTCTCCACCTCTTTAACAGGTTCAGAAATACAGTTTTATTGTGGAAAGATGATGTTTAGAAAATATAAGTCACTGTTCCCATATCATCTGGGAAAATAGTTAAATTGTTGCATCAGTTTAATTGACAACATGTGTGTAAATAAATCTGACTTTTCAGAGGATCTTGAGGTATCAGGATACTTATATATCTTGAGAAATGACTCCCAAAAGGAAGACTTCAAAAAAGCCTTATCTGTAACACATTCTTGAATCAAAGGTTTTATAGCTCCTTTTCAGCATATTTATAGTTGACCACTGACATCATTGGCTGCTTATCATTTCATCATTAATTAATAGATTACAACAACCAGTGAGTCAGTTGGAGGTGTTATCATGACCAAACTTCAAGTCCGTAGTGCGGAATGAATGTCAAGAATAATAGGAAAAAAGTTATTTCGCAAAAACTTTTATTGCCTTTATTTTTTTCTTGTAATGAGACCTTCTGTACAAATAGAGTGGTTGAATTCTTGGAGGTGCTTTCACCAAGTTTTGCATTCTTTGAAATTACCCGTGGACGGTAATTTGACGTATTGACGTGAATCATATTTTCAAACATTTTCTCACTGGATTCAGATTTGATGTATGCCATGTAAAAGTCGTTCATAATAATATCATTTGTGTCTTTTGCATCGGATATGTTTTGTTTCATATGCGCATTGAATTTTATAGTTTGCTCACAACCATACGGAAGAGTTTCTCGAAAATAATTTTGAACTAATTCAATGATATCGTTAGAACAACGATCAGTGAGAATGTTTCTGATACAGATAACTTTTGCCAACGTTCCACTAAAACGTTTTAAACGAAGAAGTTTTGATAATCCGATTTCAGTTGGTGGAGAAACAGTTAATTAATACTAAATTAAATAAATTCATAGATATCAAGATATTTCTTCACACCAGCTGATATCAACTTAGGAATGATGTAAAGCAAGATTACATCTAACGGCTGATTTTACTGTAGTCTCGGAATTTCCAGCCGTGCCCACTTAGTGTGAGAGACAGAAACAAAACTAGAACCTCCAGATCTCACAGGAAAAGTCATCTGAGTCATAATGAAGTAGTCATGTTTATCTTAGTGACCATCAGAGGAATCCAGGATACACGTTTCGTCCTATTTAAGACTCCTCAGCTGAATGTATTTGCAACGAGAAATTCAGGCACCATAGCAACATTAAGTGGTCATCATCTCACAACACTTGTGGTTAACCGAAATAACTTAATATGTACTACATCACCCGTACTTACCCACTCACATGTTTGGTTTATTGACCAGTAATATCGAAATTAATGACAATGACTTTTATGTCATACGCTTTAGGCGGACCTATCCGTGTTAGACACATAAATTCACATAGTAACGCAAGAAATCCCCAACCCACTTTTACGTTTTTACCGAGTCTCTCATGGGTATGAATTTTCATTCAAATTGAATGTGGTTACATGGTTTAATTTCTGTATGAAGTTTACATTTTTAAAAATGATCTCCACAAACTTCCGATATTTTCAGGTTCTTAATCTTGTGATGTTTTTGCAAGAACTGGCTTAGAATCACGCTCCTGTCCACCCAGTGCAAGCAAAATATTGAGCAGCATCATTCTAGAGAGACTAAAGGATGCACTGGATTCAAAACTACTACCCTAAACACGCTGGATTCATGAAGTACAAACCATATGCGGACCAAATTGCAACGCCACTCTACGCATCATCATAGAACAAGGTATAGAATGGCAGTCAACTCTACACCTCAACTTCACAAACTTTGAAAAGGCCTTTGACAGCATCGTCCGAGAAGTAATTTGGCAGCTGCTGTTTCAACACTACGGAATACCACAAACCTTTATCAGCCTCATTCAACAACTATATGAAGACACCACATGCCAAGTGATTCACAATGGGAAGCTCAGTAATGTTTTGAAGTGAAGACAGGAGTGAAACAAGGTTGCCTATTAACCCCCATGATATTCCTGATTGTGGTGGACTGGATCATGCAGCAGACAGTGGGGAGCTGTGAGAAGATGGGGATACGATGGACTGCGGAAAAGAACCTAGAAGACTTGGATTTCGCCGATGACTTGTGTCTAATGTCACACAAAATTGAACATCTACAGGCGAAAACTAACAAGTTGGTAGAAGAGGCAGCAAAAATGGGACGTCAGGTGAACATAGAGAAGACAGAGGTGATGAAGATACCCAACCAACAACAACAAACTCCAATCACCATCAACGGGGGAAACTTAAAGGAAGTAACCTCCCCCACCTATATTAGCAACACGGTCTCAACTACAGGCGGCACAGAAGAGGATGTCAAAGTCAGAATCGGAAAAGCGAGACAGACGTTCATAAACCTGAAACCAGTGTTGAGATCTGCACTCAGCATGTGGAACAAGATGCCAATTTTTAATACCAACGTCAAATCAGCGCTTCTGTATGGCTAGGAGACTTGGCGCGCTACGAAAGGGGTTTCCAACAAACTACAGACATTCATCAACAACTGCCACCTACGCTGGCTCGTTATTGAAGATCAGATGGCCAGAATAGTTAGAATAAGCAACAAGGAACTCTGGGAACGGACCAGTGGAGCGAGAACCTCTCGCTGAACAAATTTGCAGTGGAAGGAAGTGGAGATGGTTTGAGCATGCACTGAGAAAACCGACTGGGGACATCACGCACCAGACCAGTTGCTCGAGTGGAACCCTGATGGGAAACGTTGAGTTGGGCGTCCTAGGATGACATGCAGGAGATCGTATGAGGAGGAAATGAGAGTTTCTAAGCTGTCGTGGAGCCAGGTTCAAAAGATTTCAGAGAAGAGAGTGCACTGAAGACGTGCTACTGAAGCCCTATGTTCCATTAGGAACCCAAGGGACAAATAATAGTAATCTTGTGATGAACATAAGTGACTGGTAATTATGACTTTCGAAGTTTGTACGAGCTCATGAATTCAAATTCAAATACCGTAAACAGTCTGACACCCAGGTGAAGTACAAAACAAAAAGCGGAGAATGTAATTCATCGTACACATGGTTAGACAAATTGAAACTATAATTTATATGCTGACAGCTGTCAAGTTCTGAACGGAAACATAACAAAATGATACTAAAAAGTCCACAGTCACTTTCAAGCTTCTGTGAAAATCATTACGCAAATAAATATTTTCTTATGCTCAAATACTGTCAAATCAGAATAGTTTTAGGTGTTCAGTTGTATTCAGCATATTAGGAGTAAAGTTACCTGCAGTAGGTTGCACTGAGTACCGATTTCATATAATTTGCATATTCATCTGCGTTGCTTGAGTTCACCGGGTTACTCTTAGCAAGTTGTAAATGTGTCCTGGATAGTAGATTAGAATATTCTTTTGAACAATTCTCAACTTGTGATTCATATTTAGAAAGACACTTATCGCGATGGTACCTGAAAACTTTGAATAAATGTAATACTGTTGGTAAATTGCTTTACAAAACATTGCACAAATGTAAATGAAGTACTTAAATTAAAAATTAAGTGCAACGCATGTAAAAAGTCTATTGTTATGGGGCATGACGATATCCCTTGGATTCCTCAAAAAGCCTGAAATTCCCTGAAACGTCTTCACAAAAGTTTATCGCATCGCGAACATTCACTGAAAACCCTGTGATCATACGTCTTTCTCAGATTAACTAAACGACTTTCTAGAAAAGTGCAAAATTTACCAAGGTCATCGAATATATGAACTAACCGTTACTTTTTGTACATGTTCTACTTGACAGTAAATCTGTATCGTTTTTGTTTTCGAGGAAAGGAACAGTCGTAAACGGTGAAGCCTAGGGTTATTGTTCAAAAGCCCATCCATATGTAGCTACATATATTCACTATATGAGTATATTACGCACATGTATTTCAGTACTTAGCAGCCACCGGAAAATGATGAGTACGGAAAAAAGTGAATAGTTTTCGTCCGGCTTCTTTTAAATTTAAAATTACTGAATTAAAATCAGCCCAATTTTATTTAGCGCTTTCCTCGTAACATAGAAGAATGAAGTCAATAAACTTCACTACTTTCTCTCCCCATATGAATTATTGGTGTTAAGCTATATTTCACTTTGGAGTTAACTCATAATTACACTCATCATCTCGCAGCATCGTTTCAAATACAGGCGGTGGCACAGATCAGAACGTCAAAAACAGGGTCGAGAAAGCAAGACAGGCCTTCATTAACCTGAAATCGGTGTGGAGATCTACTGCACTCGAGTCACCATACAGAACAAGATCTGGATTTTCAACACTAATATCAAGTAAACCAGTGTTTCTGTTTGGCTCAGAAACTTGGCGCGTCAAGAAAAACATTTCCAACAAACCACAGACATTCATCAACAACTACCTACGCTGGCTGGATACTGAAGATCAGATGAGTCGGAAAGTATAAGCAACAAAAAACTCTGGGAACGAATCAACCAAGAACCTATCGCCCAACAAATATGCAGAAGGAAATGGAGATGGATTGAGCATACACTAAGAAAACCATTCGGAGACATCACGCGCCAGGCTGTCGAGTGGAATCCAAATGGGAAACGATGAGTTGGGCGTCTGAAGCGAGGGTGACATGGAGGAGATCATGTGAGGAAGAAATGAAAAACTTGTAAGCAGTCGTTGTGCCAGGTTGAGCCAGACTCTATAGGAGAAGGTGCAATGGAAGTGTACTACTACGGCCGTATGTTCCACCAGGAGCTCAAGGGACAAATACTCACATAACAAAAACACTCACCATCTTATGTAGCAAAGAGTGAAAATATATTTGTCACTGATTCTCACTTCAACATGGTTATAAACCATTCGTGACAAAGACTATCGCCTAAGGCCTTCAGTTGGTATCCGCCTCAATTACAACTGGTCGCCCCCATAGTTCACAGCTTCTTATTCAAACTTCGGAATATTTATCTTCAAGCATAATACCAATGATCACTATAAATTATTGTAGGCTGATGAATACAACCTTTAAAAATAAAATCATCAATTTCAAAACACGTAGACGGTGTTAGTCCTTACCTCACAGATGAAAGATTTTAATCGCTCAGGGTCAAATTCTCATGCTATTTATCAAGACTGATACACTTGTCAAAATAATTGTTGGAATACCTAATTCCTTCCTAACCACTAAGCATTTCCAAAGAATACACAATGAAAAATGGGTCGTATGCAAGATTCAGCTAACATGTTTTCTATAGATCATTTGGAAAGGATTTACTTCCTTCCGACTTAAATCAGTGACATTCTTATCGGAGTCATAGAAGTTGTCTTTTGGGTTCCAAAGATTCTGGTTTGCAAACAAATTTTTAAATTATTTGTCTAGTCTTTAACTAGAACTACGAATACTGTATCATGCTGTTCACTTTTAGTTGCATTACTGTTTGCAGTCTGTATAAAGATGTTATAGGCTTGACCTAAATGAAAATTCCATGATGAATTGATGCTTTTTATTCCTGAATCTTATGCTTCAAAGACCATAGGACAATGGTGAACAATTAAAAAGTTAGAAAATATTCCCTATACAGCTTTTTATAAAAACAAATATTTCCTCAAAGGAAACTAATGGAATGCACTTTCGGATGGGCTGATTACCAGTAGGAAGTTTATAGACATCCAAGCGATAGTTGTTACGGATGTCCTGAAAGAAGCCGAGCCCCGATTCATATCAAATTATTATATAGGTAGGGTTCGATATTATCTCATGTGGCATGCACAGCAAAATGTTTCAGAAACATTTTTTGGTTTTCTAAACAAGCAGGGACTACGTTTAAACCTAATTATATAATGATAAAATGTTTCTTTATGAACATGTAAAATTCTAAGTGATCTAAAAAGCCATTTCACGATATACATTCAAGTGATAGCCATCTGTTTACAGTAATTTGGGGAAGAAATTAATATCTTCAAAACAGGATCTTTTGAAAATAAAATAGTTCGGCTTAGAATTTCTGTACTTAAATATCACAAACAGATATCAATCCAGAAAGACATTCATTCAATCAAAACATGCTTTGGTACCACGACATTGTTATGCTATATATAATTGACTTGTTTGAGAATACATTTCATTATGCACATATAAGTTGAGCATAGTTGTTCTTTATGTTTCTACCTTAGTCTTGGTACTTTTATAAAATTGACGGAATTACTAGAATGGTCTAGTTCGTATTTCTTGGTTGTATTGTGTTCTCTGAGCTGGGTTGTTTAATCATGAAGATTTCATCATCTTTAGTATGAAGTTGCTGCTGATGATATCGTTTAGGAAGACGATGAAAGCTTCACGACTAAACAACCCAGCTCAGAGAACATAACACGACCAAGACCATCCATCCAGGCTACAAATGTTCTCCACTATTTCAGTTCATATTTCCACTAAGTCATGTAAACGTTGTTTTGTTATAATTTTGTATTATATCTCAACATTGAACCTAAATTTCTGGGTAAAATACCGATAACTGTACACAACCATAATCATTCTAATTGCGATATATCTACATTTAGCGATTGTGTTCAGGTACCAGATAAGTAAATTTATGTGACTTAAATTCTTGAATTTCAGTATGCACTTAGATACAGTGGCAAAATAAACATTAAGGAACATTCTACAAAACTCCTTTTCAAATTTCATGTAAGAATTTTCAGAAATTCACCGGAATCAGTGCTGTCAGCATTTTCCCCCTTGATTAACATACTAACTGCCACGCTCTTCATCTTTGATGATTTGACTGTATACGAGTTAGTTTGTAATAAGAAGACATTTTGGTACCTTCTATAAACGAAATTAGATTTCATTACATATTTGTAACATGGAAGGTCACAAATACTTTAAATATATGGTGTAAAGATTATTTGGATGGCTTAATATTCTGATTGAATGTTCAAATCTTGATGTCAGACTGATGTTTCAAAAGCTAGCACTTGCATTAAAGCGTAAAAGCACCAGTAAAATCGATAAATTAGCCAAGAATATCAATCTCATCATTTGAAAGACTATACTTGTTAAAATCCTTCCACAAAAATCAATAAGTAATCTTCTTACTGCGTAAATTATATTGTTGACATAAATAATTTGCCGCTTTTTCGTAAGGGGTTGTATCAAATATAAAACGCCACATTACATCTCGAAAATGTGAGGTAGATTCACGTGAACAACGACCAAGGATTGTTAATTGAGCGCATGAATAAACTTTAATGTGCCATCTTGTTCTGTGTTAAAATAAAAACAAACAGAAAAGTTGGTTGGCCTCTCAGTCATGAAGATATCAAGAACCATTATAGATTTCTAGTAAGTAATGTTAAACCGGAAGAGTTCTTCTTCGCTTAAGCCTTTAGCTTAATCTGTAAAAACACCTATTTTATTACTCAGAGTTATTAGGAACGTCAACTACACGCTTATTATCCTGTTGATGACTGACGTAAGCACTGAGGTCTCTGGAAATAGTACAGTACCTCCACCCAGTACACTTCAAATAGATTTACATGTATGTTAATATATTGCATCGATACTGTCTTGAAAAACTATTTTGTTGTGATTTGTATAAAGTGGCTTTCAGGGAAATATTAGAAAGGCTTTTTATCTTTTCTGATACTCATTGACCGAAGGTATAAATATTTCAGTGTTTTATGCAAAGGTTTAAGTCTTCTGTGAAGCGCTAACAATAAGATGTAGGTATCTCCTGTCAAATATTACTAATCCGGAGAAAATGCATGTCACGTTATTAATAGTATTATGAATTTACTATGAATATATTAACAATGAATATTTACTTACAATGAAAGATTTGATTTTAATGTGATCATGGCGAAAATTAAAAAAACTCATCACTGTGTGTAAATGTTCACTAAAAAAATATTCCTTACAAACCGATTCATTCCACTGTGCATAAACGTTTCATAAATGCAACTGGTATTGTTAATGTTAATCTCTTAATTTTTCTGTTGACTGCATTATGCATGCTTTAGATGACTGTAGCTTCAGGTTGTTTTAAAACAAGCATCGAGTACTAAGAAATTTAGGAAGCAGAAAAGAATTAAGCATGTCACAGATAAGTTACCAAATTAAAAGGTTCATAACTTACCAGGTAGACAAATTGATTACTTTCAGTTAGTGGAAATGATCCGACATATAAGTACGTAGGTATTTTAACATTTCATAAAATATATATATATACATACATATCTATATATATATATATACTCTACGATATTTCATTTCAGAAAAAAACTGATCCATATGACTATAATGTAAAATATTCCTGTGGTTTTGATGAAGTCAAACCTTTTTTAATTCTTATGTCTTGCAACATCTTATATTTCTATACGTAGAAAATGTCAGTTATCTACTAACAGAAGCGCCAATATATATGTGTGGAAATTGAATGATAAAATAAAGCTCAGCTTCTTCTTACAAATAAGAAAACTGGTTCGCGGATGAGTCTGATTTTGTGGAGATTACATAAACTCTTTCTAATCAACATTTATAGAAATTTAAGCATTTGGTTGAAGAATATCCGAATAAAACTGTGAAAACTTTTTATCGGGTACAATGCGTTTTCAACTGGATCAAGAAATGAGAATTACAAATACGTTTTCTAGTGGGAATCAACAAATGATATTGACAACTCAATGAATCTGAAAAACACTAGTTTCCATACGGTTTCAAAGACCCAATTAGATGACGACTATTGTCAAATTAATTAAATCCAGTACCAATTATGCAGATTTTTCAGAAAATATGAACAATATTAGAAAGTAAATTTACTCTTTTGTAAACCCAGCAAGCTATACAAAAAACATTTTGCTATTCAGTATTGACACCTATGTTTGAATAAAAGCATTTTAAAGCTGAAAATAGATTAAATTCTGACAACATTCGTTTCCGAAAAGTAGGCATTCTTATAATATCATGAGAAATATTTTTCTGAAAGAATTATTCATCTATGAAATATGAATAAAGGAAGAGTAAATAGGCTTTAGCGTCTAAAAGTCAAAATACTTAAATGAAACAAACTTCATATTTACCTACACATATGTTCCACATCACCAACTGAGCCGAAGCCAAATCCAAAACCCTCTGTATTTTCAGGAATCCTTTTGATACCAGTTAGTTTTGCACAGTTATTCAAATCATCAATGTGCAGTACACAATCGTTACAATTGACACTTGCAAACAGAAATACGCACAGTAGTAAGTGGAAAGATGTAGTCTTGTGATTTAAGATAAACATGCTGTCCCATTAGTTATTTTTGTTACAAACGATCTCTCTATTTTAGCTTAAGTGTGGCTGCGTTTGGGTTTTTGATCAGCTTCTGCCCAATATTACCCTAAAACCAAATAAAACATATATTAAAGTTTAGTTGTTTACCTACATAGTAAGGTGAATATGGAAATCAGTTATTTGTAGTAACCCAAATCACCTTCAGATATTTTCCACTTTGACACTATTTTCGTGCTGCACTTATGTTGACAACTTTTCCCGTTTAGATAAGAAAAGTTATTTTCCTCCTCAATGTATACTGAGTACTTTATATGGTGTCGAAGAATAATTCACGGTGAAAGACAAACGCTTAAGGTCTTAACTATAGGAAATGTGCAAAACATTGAACATTAGGTAGTGTATTCAGTTATTCGAAAGACATGAACTGGATTTTCATACTTAGAGATTCAAGATAGATATCAGATGCTTAAATTACATCGATTTGTAACAGTTTATACGAATAGATCTGTAAATTCTGATTGCTTTAGAACCTGGATTTATTCTTGTCCTACAGATTTTACAACTGCATCCTTCTAGAGCTGAAGTCTAATCCGTTTTAATATTTACCATGCTTTCAATACGGAGTATAATGGTAAGTCACTAGTCGCTGCCCATAAATACATTGATAAATACTGTTTTTTGTATGCTTTCATTTGAATTCAGCTTTTTTTTTATTGTCTTAGATTTAAGGTATAACCAGTGATCATTTGTTAACATACTCATGAAATTTCCAGAAGGAAATAAACTGTTTCAGAATTTTGCAATATGCTTCACGTAATCATGTCTGTCTTATCAACTTATTGCAGAAGCATAAATATTCTTCAGTCGACAACATCACGGAATATGTGACTAGACTTTGTCTAACACTATTCTTGCTTCATGAAAGCTGCTTGTTTTGGTTAGTTTAAAAAGCGTACTAAGAAGGCGAAGATTGTTTGAGACATGTGATATATTAGCACAACAGATTTTGAACGGTCTAGTCATACCTGTCAAACTACTTATATGAAAATTTCGTATCATTCAGTTATTCAAATATGTCAGTATGAGATAAGTGAGATGTTCTCCATTAGAACGTATTACATACCTGTATCTTCAAGGATTTGAAATTTAAAGTTAACTAAGAAGTTTATGAGATTTATTAAAAGCAGAAACCTATTGTTACAGGAATTTGTTTATTGCTTAGAATTTTTTGTCTATTCATTAAACAGCAAAAGATTTGCATTTACTGACATCGGCACATGTGGATACATCCGAATGCTTCAATGTAAACTTAAGTGTGGTCATGAGATTGCCTTCATAAATAACAGTTAAATAAACACGAATAACTTAAATGAACACCCGTGAATCCACAAAAACAAGAAATTTATTTATGATAGTAGTATGACTAGTCAATCTTTTGACCATCCATGATAAATCTCTATGTAGAAGGCTTTTCATGCATCCTGTAGTGATCTTCACCGCAACATCAAAATAAAGCTCATGTGCTTAATTCTTCTTGAGTGTTTACAGTCTTTATTCCTGATGTTCTGAAGCAATTCAGTTTTCAAACAAGTAGGTGAATGAGGTGCAATATTTGTGCACCTCTATTCCCAAAAGTCTCATTTTTTTGCAAATCTCAAAGCATGTGTATCTTCGAAATTTTATTATGCTACAAATGTAGAGTGATCAATTAGAGATGATGAAGAAATTTCAATGATATCACCTCTGAAAGTGTGCAACTTTTTAAAAATCTTCGAAAAAGCCACTTGATGAATGTAATTACCATCTTCATTGTATTTCTGTTTATCTAACAAAGGTATATTATCTCAGTAGAACTCAAAAATTAAATTTTGCACTTATAGTTTCCACTGGGTAATGATGAAGACAATCGTCGTATCATTTATTGGGGAATTAAATAAAAATTTATTAATTCTCGCATGCTTTTTCCCTCGACAGTCTAATTCTAATCTTTGAAACAATGTGCTGAGTCATAAAATCAAGAGTTTTAGTATCCACAATTACAGATGACACTTAACAGCAGTTTGATTGAAATTTCAAAACATAATTCCATAGAGTCCGTGGCGAATGACGTAAATTTGATGGTCTCTTATGAATTTCTTTGCTTAATTTCAAAAACCTAAGTGTATGGTTTCCTAAGAGCTGAAAATAGCCGGTTTGAAATGACAGTAAAGTCTATTAATACTGCTGTAATCTAAAATATGTTGAAAACGCTTGAAAGTTTGCAGAACATTTTAAATTCGCCAATCTCTATTATTCATTTTTTGAAGGATCAGAGTGTTCACACATTATTCAAAGAATACTATTCATTTGAACATTCGTGTTTCAGATGTGACTTGAACTTAAATACTTCGTAAGTTTTATTTGATCAGATTTGTTTTTATATTCATTAAGAAGTTCAACTGGCCTTTTTTTATGAAAGAACGAAAGTTGAGGTGCATCAGGTAAATTCACATATCCTGCTCATTGGACCTGCAACAATGTTTCTAGAGAGCCACTTCTGATGGCATCACGTTTTAGATGTTAGATTAGAGTGTACGCCATATCAACAAGCCTGCTGATGAACACAGGCTTAAAAAGGTTGGTAGAAAATCAACATTACACGTCGTCCGTCCTTACTATCATTTTGATTTGGATTAGTTATGCCTCATAAATTAGAAACTACTGGTTACACAATCGGTTAGATGATATTTATACACCCATAAGGCAAACAACTGCAAAACATAAACATACTCATAAATGATTCATTCAAAGTATTATAGAAGTATAAACTTTGAATTAAAGGCCATATATATTTTTCAGGGATTTTGTTCAAAACCCTGGTTTGCGGTAGAACCAATAAGTAGACTAAGACATACATTTTTTTTGTTTTTTCTTGAACAAGTGCTATACAAACACAGCTTGGTTGATAAAGACAGCGTCACATATCGTGAAATAGTAATTTCACGCTACTAGAAATTTATAACGATAATTGAACGAAACTAATTTATAATCGTTTGATCGGAAAAACAATCAAATTTTTTTTAAAATAGGAAAAAAGTTTGTAAACCTCAAAAACAGTTTACAAAGTTAGCGAATTCAGTTAAATCACTTCGTCGATCGAGTAAAAAATTGATAGTGAAGTAGAACTACGAACATTTGAAATGGTTGCGATTACCATTTTAAATCAAAATACACATAAGGTAAAGTAAACTTAGTGATTTCAATCACAATTGCTTTCATACTATTTTTTTGTGACAATTCGTAGTGATTCTGAAAGGGATTAATCATAAAGCAGTAACTGTGAGCCTAATCAAGTATCAATTAGAGTTTCATGATCAACAGGTTGACAGTGATTGTAACGTGTTTGACCGAATCTCAAGAAATGGTTGACTCACTATGTATGCATCGCAAGATCTAGTGAAAATACATTTTACGATAAGTTCTGTAACACCAGAGACCCCTGAAACCAAAATAGCTAACTAATAAAATCAGTGAATAAATAATCTAACGTTATCATAGTATTTTAACTATTGTTATGAATCTACTATTAATTACCTAAGATAAAATATTTGGTAATAAGACATCTTTGTATAGCAGAACGTTATCATTAAATAAAATAAAGAGAAGCTCTTGAAGTACAAAACTACTTGATATATAACACGCTCGGTATTGATGTCAGTTTCAAAACACACAACACAGTTTACCATCGTACTAAAGATTGGATTTCAATTCTTCAATTAGCTATGTTACACATTTTAGCGACATTACATAGCTAACAGCACTTCAGACGTGATATAAGATTTGAAGTTACTTCATTACTGACACGTTGTAAGGTATGAATACTATTTTTTTTTTAGTGGTATTTCCACGGTTAGTATGTACGGAGTGAGGGCATTTGTCTAGGGTGGGAAATTTATTTTCTTCTATTCAGGAAAAAAAATAAAAGCACTCGTATATTTATACCAGTTAACTAAGGCGCTTTTGAACAATATCAGCGTTAATATTTCTGCTAGACATTCGACAATTCAGTTTCATACTTATGATAACACAAAGTCCAGGACTAAAAATTTTAAGCCAGACTGATTAGATAATTTGACATCCACTGACAAAAATCCAAACAAGTTCCGACGTACAAATTTCGCTTATTGTTGTAATTTGAGTTATTATTTCAAAACATGAAGCATGAAAGATACCCACAGAAGTGAGCAGAACTTTGTCTCCCAGTTTATTAAAACTAATGTCATATGATTGAATTTTTGCAGTTATTGAGTCATATTCACAAACATTTATGAAAACATTAGTAGCATATTCGAAGTACCGCGCATTTCATAAAACGTTGTTAGCCATGCAGTTACAATTTACAAAAACAAACAAATGAACACTTACGATTTATTTCAATTTGTATAGTGATACATAATTATGAATATGCATCATGCTGAACAGCATATCTCACCCTTATTTTATTAAATACGAACAGATATTTTCATATATATTAGCTGTTGCTTTTTTAAACGATGTTTATTATATTGGTGAATAAATAAAGAATGACCAAAGTGACTGAATCATTGTATGTAACAAAAATCTTTGCAATGAGTATCGTCTGACTGCACATTTATATGTCAGTATTTATGCATAAATGTGTGTGTATATATGTAAACCATATATTGAACACCATATTTCTCTTCAGTTTGTCTGTATACAATGTGTAGTGATTACGTGGGTGAACATTAAATTAAAATAAGAGGAAAGGGTAAATTTTCTGAAAAAAATTAATTTAGCTTTTGTTTATTGAATGCATAACAGTAGCAACTGGAAAACGAATGACTATCACTCATCCGTCCTCTTTATAAACATTATTTGTGATTGGTCAATAGTATGTTTCAACGATATGTGTAGCCAATGCATTTATGAATTGTTTGGTAGAACTGCTTAAGAAGAATAGTGTAATACACAGTTACTTAATGAAAGCACGTTACATTATTTCTCATATTTATCACCTGAACTCATGATTCAAAGTAAAAACGTGTCTAGTTTTGATTAAGAAAAACGCTGTTATTTGTTAACGGAAGCCAGTAAAACTCAAATAAAAACATTACTTACAGAATGTGAACAAAGTTCATTCTAGACTTCAACTAGTATAGCTTTGAAAAGTTATTTTAACTAATTAGGATGTTATCTACATACGTTGTAAAACGGTACTGCGAATTCTGTTTAAATGACGGTGTTACGCAAATAAGCCATAGTTCCTATTTATTTCCGTCCAGAAAACACTTACATTTCTACAGAATTGTCAGATCAAGGGGTGAGAAAAAATGACTATTTCCTAGCAGACGACTAAATTTTTGTTCGCCAAGATGAATTACTATTCCTTGTTTCACAATGTTGTAGAATAACTATTTTTCAATTCGCATTAGAATACCTTTATGCTTAAATCTACTGAGTTTTATATGCTTCAAAGTGAGTTATCAAGTGCAGCATGTACAAAACAAAAGTTAAAACATGATTTCACCCGTTCGTTATGCATGAGATCAACCAATCAATTTGAGAATCGAAATTACTCTAGGAATCAGTGTTATAAAGATGTTTTATCTGTAAAAGTGTGATCTGTATGTTACATACCACATAAGGAGTCATGTAAATGTAAATCACACTGGTAGACTGATACAAATGATTGCTGGTGAGTGCCGATGAGTACAAAACCTATTTCCACGGTACTCTGCAAACTATTTGTAACCATTCAACTTGGATGATATACATAAACACTTTTTATGTTTCAGAGTTCATGTATTTTCAATAGTTTGACTACTACTGAGTCACCAGTGACTAGTTTGTCTGAAATTTTCAACGAAGAACGATATGAATGTAAACACAAAAATCACATCACGATATACGGAGATTTTCATACGGAATAGTTAGTATTATATTCGAAAAACAATCATTGTATAAACAGTATTCGATTAGAAGATAAGGCGGATCTTTGTAGAACCATATACGAATCTTTCATGTTTTAGTTTGATTAATTCCCTGAAGAAGCTCATAACATACTTCCAGGCAAAAATCTGGCATCATTTACTTCAAACACTTTGAGATCCTTAAAAATATAAACTATATCTCATAATATCCAAAATGTGTTGATATATTGCTTTCTTTAATTGTAGTTTCCAATAAAATCCTTTGTTTAGTTTCCTCACTTCTACTTGAGATATTCTGGAACCAAAACCAAAGAAAGAACACGAGAGGAAACCTAGGCCTAACTTATTCTAGCACAGGTATCCTGTTCAAAAACTCGAGTGTGTTTTCAATAACAACGTGTGACAACAAAATTACTGAAAAAAAAAGAAAAATTATTTTATGCAACCCTAGGTTCACCTTTTTAAGTTTCCCAAGGCCTAAAACTTTCATGTAATCCCGTAACCTCTTAAAAATTCAGCTTATTTTTCTATCATTCATGGTATTGATTTTCACAAGGTGCATATACTTTCATTCTACTGTCAGCTTAAATATGCTGTAAGTAATTAACTACGTATTATAATCTGAAATAGCAGAATCACCAAAACTGTTTTGTATGTATAATTATCTGTATCATAAGGCCTCTCGAATACAATTTTCAGTTTTGAAAGTATTGAAATTTCTTTAAGTCTTATGCGGTGACGTAAAAAGTTCAGAATGCAAAAATTACTAAAACAACAATTTAATTTATTTGATACTTGGAAGTGGGGGAGAAATATAAAGTTATGGCTCAGAGTGAAAAGACTGAAGTTTCTGCATGTTTACCAATTTCCATCAATATGGAAATCTCTGAACTACACAATATCACTTCGAAATGATTTCTGTCTCACATGAAAAAGTAAAATAAATCAGCAGGAAATAGAAAAGCGAAAGTTTATACAAAAAGTTTACTTTACAAGCAAAAATGAAGAAATTCAATAATAATTCGGAAATATCTCAAGTTTACCAATCATCTGAAGCAGAAATGCACCCATTTTATCCTAGGAAAAGATAAAAAAGATTGTTACATCGGAAAAAACCTCCCTTTCACGAAGTCATTCATCACTATTCTGTACATTCATAAATACACATTTAAAAGTTAAAAACAATTCAAAATTACATTCCGTCAGGTACCAAGATATATTTAATAACGAGAGTTTCTCAATGAAATGATTTAGAGTAGGAAAGTGAACAATGGAGTAATAAAATAAATTCATTCACACGATAAAGATTTATCCTGATCAATGAAGGGTGTACGGTGACCATGAGAAAGTCAAAAGTTGAATGTGCTACCTTTAGCTACAATGTTGGTTTGAACTTCTGGGTGACTGTACCAAAATGCTCGGTTTCACTCTTTTTTAATGGCATGATCCAACCTTCGAGAGGCTGTCGAAATAGTTCACAGAAGGAGACGAATGACCTGAATTAACAAGGTATTCTATTACAGAACTGAACACATTTTCCCATTCTTCTTTCGTGTTCTTGAGCAAATCTTAAAAGTGCGCGTACTGAAATGTTCATGTACTTGGCTTCACTAGCACACGTAAACTGGTATGCATGCACTGACTTAAACTAATTCTCATTTGGCGATCTTAGATAGCTGTAGTCTCGCAAACTAGTATTTATATCTTCATCATCCCTTTCATACAACCGCCAAATGTTTTTCTGCAGGAGAAAACGATTCAAAGTGCGAAAGTTAGACTTAACTAAAGTGTATAAAAGTGTCCAAATATTGTGCACTGTTTGATTTTGCACGTGTTAACATAAGAGTGAATACGATCATTAGTGTTGACTTTGAGGGAATCTCTTACTATCATTGTACCTATTTTCACCATTTCTCATCTCGAGGTTCGACATCACCCGCAGTTACAGAGATGTTTTTTGTTTTGAACACGACGAAATATCTATGTACTACTGAAAACAGTCGCGGTTGTATCCGTAACTGCTACAAATACCATGGAAGAAAAACATGAAAAGGAATTATAGTTTTTACTGGATCTTCTGTCCCTACACATAGCAGTGAGATGAAGTCAGATATATCCTTGTATTTAATGCTGTGAACATTACACAAATAAAACTTGAGAGGACGGATATTGAAGCAAATAATTATTTTAATTATATTCTTGACAAACTAATCTTCCTGGTCATGCAAATGTTTACCTGAAGATATACTGTGAGACCTTGATTATCCAAGTATTCTTATCGAGAAACGAAAATATGCAACTGTCCAATAGTTAAGTATTCATAAACGATATCTGATATCTGGTGGACGAGATCTAGTAAAACCTGAAACTTAATGAGTAAAAAGGCTAACATGTTTTCAAATCTACTAAGAACTAACAAAAAAGATCCGCACAGAAGCCTAAACATAGCCAATTTCTATGGATTGGAATACATGCTAACCTCGTGTCCCGAGGACTTCATTGACTGTAGGCGAAACAAAATAAATTCCATCCTCCAGCGGCATTCAGCATATGATTCAGAAGAATACATAATACTCAATACAATTTTATTGGATGAAATTTATTGCTCACTCGTCATTTACCCCAAACGTTTTTTTTCTAAATGAAATTAGGTTAATAGTTTCAGATAAGGATTTTGCTGCAAACATTGTTCAGATTGCACGGTTCATACTAGCTGGCAGAAGAAATACGACACAAGATACTTTTTACGGAGTTTTTAAATGCTAATCTACATCTGTTACAGAAACACTGAAAAATATCAAACGTCTGAGAAACCGCTGCTTGAAACAAGTTTGTCTCTTGATGTCCTTTTTTGCTCAATACTGCTCTAAATTAATTAAAATCATCAAAAACCTAACAGGTGACTCATCACAACTAAATTTTGTGGTATGATAGAAAATTATTTTGCCTAACTTGTAACAAGGTCTAATAGTTTTGAACCACGTCTTTTCAAAGTCACTTCTGTTAGATTTTCTGATATATACGGTTTCTTCTCAGTTAGACACTCATTACGTTTAATAAGCACGGAAATGTTTTCGATACCTTTGGAGTCATGATTATTTTTTGCTGACGAGTTTCATACCATAAAGAATTAGCCGTCAAGTACTCCTAGGTACTCTGTGGTTCTCCAAACAGTGCCAATCTCTTGACATCAAGTAATCCTCACAAATCTCCAAATTCCATCATAAATAATGTTGAATCATGAATTCCTGTCAAACTAATGCTATAATTGAAGTGATTCAGACGGATATGATATCATGTTACTGAAGTATATTTCTCCAAATCCCTTCCAAATTTCTTACTCTGACGTGAATGTTTGGAACAATTTTAATTATAACGTATATATGCATATATATATATATATATATATATATATATATATATATATTTGAATATACGCATTCAAGAATCTAATTCTGAAAGTCAGTTTGTCCTTATTATAAGTAACAAACATCAGTAATTGTGGCTGATCTCACCAAAAAATACTTATCAGTATGCTGTAGTGAAATGAAACGTAGTTAACACTTTTTTGGAGACTTTACATGGTGTAAACCATACTGACGTATACCTTTCAAAATGAATACTGCTGACTCATAAGATGTGTTTTTATTGCAAAAAACAATAAACAGGAAAACAAATGTCAGTGACACCAGTTTTCATGTATATATCCAATAAATACAGGAATGTCAGGGAATCACACCGAATTTACAGCATTACTATATTCTT